TAAACTAAATTAAACAAGAAATAGAAATATTGAAAATATTAATACAAGTGGCAAAATTACGTAATAACTAAAACTAAGAGCTCATTCAAAATAGTAAAACGTGCTGAAATGGCAGTAGTATTTTGTTTTTGTATTTTGCTTAATTTGATTAAGTTACTTTAGGAATATTATTAGTATTTAGGCCCCGTCCACACGAACGGGGTTATTTTCAAAACCGCAGCTTTTTCTACGCGGTTTGGCCGTTTGTCCACACGCAAACACATGTGGACCGAGCGTTTCTGAAAACTCCTGCCAGGGTGAGGATTTTCAAATACTCCGGTTGCAGTGTTATCGTGTAGACAGCGAAACGGCGCCTGTGCTGTTATCTCTGCCTACTGGAAACGTTTTCAGGCTTCTGATTGGCCAACATGGCTTTACGGTTGAGATTATATCGCCACCTGTTGGTTTGGCATGCTCTTGACAGCGCTTCATAGCATGCGTTTGCGTTTTCATGTGGACGGAGTTTTTTTTTAAAACGGAAGACGGAAAAACTCAGTTTATAAAAATACCAGTGTACGTGTGGACATGGCCTTAGACTCATGTTCACACTGGAGCTGTAATTCATACTGTAGTGAGTGAGGAGCATTATGGGAAACGTGCATGAATCAGCAGCTGTGATGATGATGATGTGTTGCAGGCAGAAGGTTGAAGCTCTTCTGAAGAACTCCGATCAGACTCTGGATCTGGAGCCCTGCACCGGGTCAGAAACACTCCTCTTACTGACAGACTTCATTAAAATAGAGCGTGTGTTTGTGTGTAACAGAGATCGGAGCTGAATGTATTAATAATCATGTGTGTTTCAGCTTTCAGAGGAAGCTCATCTATCAGACGCCATCTCTAAATCTGTGAGTCTCTCTCTCGCGCACACACACACACATTCAGATTATTCTGATATAAACCGTCCTGACCTGCTTGTGTGACGCAGGGTAAACTGGTGGTGGGTCACAACATGCTGCTGGACGTCATGCACACCATCCATCAGTTCTGTGGGCCGCTGCCTGAGGTAACATGATGAAGCACTGGAGGATTGTGGGAAAGCGTGGCATGTCACAATCTGATGCACTCTGTGTGTGTTTTACAGGAGCTGGATGACTTTAAGGAGGTGGCCATGTCTGTGTTTCCCAGGTAACCTCTGATCACGTGATCACGCATGTTTCTGTTCACGTGTGCACCGACTCACTCACACTCTCTCTCTCTCTCTCTCTCTCTGTGTTTCAGGTTGTTAGACACCAAGCTGATGGCGTCCACACAGCCCTTCAAGGTGTGTCACCTGTGTGTGTGTTCAGTAGTGATCTGGAGCCGCGTGTGTTTAATGAGTGTGTGTTTAATGAGTTCATGTGTGTTTTCTAGATTATTCCTGATGAGGGTGATTGACATTCCCTACCTGAACATGAGTGGACCTGACTGTAAGAGTTAGAGAGACACACACACTCGTATTATTCTCAATATAAATGCAGTGCATCTCATTCAAGCATTTTTACAGTGTCAGCTATCAAATGTTTTAGCTGCTTCCAGAAGCATTTTTTCCCCATAGGAATCTTTAAAAAGTCTTATGAATAATTCAGCATTGTCAATATAAATAAAATATTAAAATATAATTAAGAGTAATGAAATTCATGAACCAAACCAACCAGCTAAAAAAGCGCATATCAATTATCAGTCTTGTTCAATAGTGTGGCTGTGACGTTTTGCTGTGTTAAGATATCTTATGTGTGTGTGTGAGTTATAGCAGCTTTAGATCTGCTCCTCCAATCTGAACTCGGACTACCGTCTGTTTATCAGCTATCGTCTATTTTTTTTTAGTTCGTTATGTTTGTCTCTTTTTCTCTCAGGGTCTTTTCTCACGCCTCCAAAGAGTCACATCTCTGCTCGCTCCAAACTCCTCGAACCCTTCTTCAACAAGTGAGCCACACACATATACACACACACATACACACACGGGTCTGAATCTGTGTCTCATATGAGTTCATGTGTGTTTTCTAGATTATTCCTGATGAGGGTGATTGACATTCCCTACCTGAACATGAGTGGACCTGACTGTAAGAGTTAGAGAGACACACACACTCGTATTATTCTCAATATAAATACAGTGCATCTCATTCAAGCATTTTTACAGTGTCAGCTATCAAATGTTTTGTGTGTGTGTGTGTGTGTTCAGTGCAGCCCAAGAGAGATCACGTCCTGTACGTCACGTTCCCTAAAGAGTGGAAGACCAGCGACCTGTACCAGCTCTTCAGCGCCTTCGGTAACACTCTCTCTCTCACACACACACACACACACACACACACACACTCTCATCTGTCAGTGAGTGTGCTGATCTGTGTTTGCCGTGTCTCAGGGAACATCCAGGTGTCGTGGATCGATGACACGTCAGCGTTCGTGTGTCTCAGTCAGACGGAGCAGGTTCAGATAGGTGAGCTCTTTCTCTCTCAGGGTCTTTTCTCACGCCTCCAAAGAGTCACATCTCTGCTCGCTCCAAACTCCTCGAACCCTTCTTCAACAAGTGAGCCACACACGCATACACACACACACACATACACACACGGGTCTGAATCTGTGTCTCATATGAGTTCATGTGTGTTTTCTAGATTATTCCTGATGAGGGTGATTGACATTCCCTACCTGAACATGAGTGGACCTGACTGTCTTCCTGTGACCTCCCGTGACCTCTCCTCGCGTGGCCCAAGTTCAGTGCGTTTTAAAGGTGCTGAAGATACTGAGCCATTTCTTGTCCGAATATGAGTGCGTGTATGTGTGCGTCCTGTAGTATTTTAACGTGGTTTCCGACAGCGCTCCCTCATTTTAAGTGTCGACATGTCCTGCAGGTTTATTTATTCCTCGTGAGGGTTTGTTCTTTAGTTTAACAGTGATTAACGGTGAGAAGAAAAAAAAAAGAGCGCGTGTCAAAGAATGTCTGATGATGTCATCACGAATGTCCTGTTCATATCCTTTGTAATTTTTTTTGTATGAGATGTTAAAATGTTCCCTTTTCCAGGGGAGATGAAATTAAAGAGTCTTTCTTAGTACGTCTGTGTTGACCTGTTCATTAAAACTGAACTGAGAGTTGATGAATGATTCACTTTGCCTTATTCAGATCATTCTGATATTGTTCGGTATTCACAATATTTATTACAGATTCATAATGAATAAGGGGTCCAAAACTAATGCACACAAACTGAAAAATTATACCTGTTTAAGACATTTAAGTGTAGGATAGATCATCTGACCTCTCTGGTGTTTTAAAGCAAAATGAAGTGACTTCTGAGATATGATCAAAACCTTTACCAGTCATTTTCAACCACTAAATTTAAAAATAAATCCATATCAACATTTATGCATGAATAAATTTGAAGAAAAAATTAAAGTCACATCAGACTGTTTGACAACTGGTTATATTCACGTTTTAAAAAAAATAAAATATATTTGTTTACTTTGTTTAAAATTTTCACGCGAATCATATCATTACCCGTGTTGTGTAGATTTCACGCTGTTACTCACTTTGCGCGAAGATTCAACGGAAATCCATTTGGCGCTCAACAAATTCAAATAAACGTCGTTTTAACCGATAGATCGATCGGTTTAACGGTAGGGCTGGGCGCGAATGAACCGATCATCTCTCCTCTTTCATGACCGTTACAGCACGAAATAAATATGGATCAAGGTCGGAAGGTATGTTGAAACATACAAAATACAATTTATTAAATAATCTCCCGCATAGCCGCCCAAACATCAATCAAACAGTTTAACGTACTTTTACCTCAGGAACGGCATTCAGAGTAGCTTTAGTTAAGAAAACCAACTCTATAGAGTTGAACATAATGTTAAATAAACAGTAACCTTTCATCTTAATTGTTCGTGATTTTGTGATGTAGGCCTTGTTGACAGCCACCATTGGTGTTATTTACAGAATGATTATACTTAGACAACGAATTAGAAAGCTAAGACTTTTTATTGTTATTATTATTATTATTATTAACTCCGTAAAACTTAATATGTGCTTCTGGGTCAAAGTGACTCAAATTGACTGTCTATTGTGAATTACATAAAGGTATTTTCATAGCTATAAGAATCATTGACGTGTAAGGATTTTCGACAGGCCAATTTTAAAATACAAAAAATATCTATTGTAATTGTTCAAACATTAAGAACGTGAACACATAAATTCATATTAAAAGTGGTAAATTAAGTGATTTTAGTGTTTTTTCATCTAGATGAATTGGCCGTAGCCTTAAAAAATGTCATGTGGTGCGACCAAGATTTATATTAAAACTAATTCATTTCCTTAACATTCTTAACATTTTTTTTAGATGTTCTCATGATTAAAGTGTTTAGAAACAAAGTATTTACATTTCATTTTAAGTTTTTGTAAATAATTATCTCATATTTTTGTATATTTGATTTGTAGTTAGTTTTTTTTTTTTTTTGTAGTTTTTTTGTAGTTTTGTAGAAATTGGAATTTATTTGAATATTGTTGCATCCGAGCAGCTGCATCATCTTACTGGGATGAGGAAGAGATAATTTAAAGGACTCGCGGAACGTAACATTTCCGTCTCACGCTTGAGGTATTCGGCCAATCACAGCGATATGTGCGATCTGTCACGCCACATTGAGAGCGTGAAAAACACATTATTGTAAGACATATTGTTTGTATTTCGCTATAAAACTGACAGATTTTGAAAGCTGAGACTTCAGAATATCTCCAGGTGCTCCCAGTCATGGCAGATTACGCATGCGCAATAGGCTAATATACTCTCAAAATATTGTAACTTTAATCTCGTAATTGCTATGAATTAATTCTCGTTATTTTGACTTATTCAAGTAGTATTTCGACTTTATTCTCATAATATTTCGACTTTATTCTTGAAATATCACGACTTCAATCTCGTAATCTTAGATTTATTTCTTTTATTTTGTTCTCATTTATTTAACATGGCACTAAAGCACTGTCGTATGTAGGCTAACTGATAGTGGAAATGCAAATATTAATACAAACTCACGAAAAACCGAACAGATGAGATTTTTCCTGCTTTGAATATTCAAATGATTTTCATGCATGTCTCTTCTGAACATGATTTCATGATTTCTGTAAGAAATAATCTTTATTACTGCAGTATGTTTTTGGACGTCTTTACAATAAAATGATAGTTCAAGAATAAAACAAAGATTGCACAGCAGAAACATGAGCTATATTCTGTGTACAGCATGTCTGAGGAGCTGCTGGATTCAGAGCCACAGGAAGTAGGAGAGCAGAGAACAGCACAGGAACAGGAAGCTCTGGTTAACACTTTTAGCATCATTATACGTGACTTTCTGCCTGACACTCTTAGCATCGTTGTACGCGAATCTCTTGGTGACACTCTTAGCTCCCGGATGCATGAAGCTCTGGAGGATGCTCTGGGTGACACTTTGGTTGACACTTTCATCAGCGTTATTTCTGAAGCCCTGGGTGACCCTCTTGTCACCGTTACATAGGTCCCCCTCACAACATGAGACGTCCTGAATAAAGGAACATTTTAGGGCCCCACAAATATATTTAGAGACACAGCCTTTTACAAGCATTGGTGGGCCTCTGTTAGTCACTGATGAAAAGAAAGAAAACAAAATTAAGTTTAGTCAGTCTGAGTTAGCCATTTGTATATGTGAAATGTATCAAACGTTCAATAAGATTAAAAATAAGACGCATTAATCCTCTGGTGTTGTTCAGGTGGCGGTCAAAATTATTATTATTTTTTTCAATGAAATTAACGTACTATATTTGAAGTTGATAATGTTTTTATTGAACATTTTGTATTTTAGGGGATTTTATGGTACTGAATTATATTTTTGCAATTGTTATGATCCATTTATGACTTGTTAACCAGTTTTTGAGTATAGACCTGAAAATAACATTTCCAACTTAAGCTTACTATTTTAGGAAAAAAACAATTACTATTTTAAAATGTTATATGAAATATATTTCCCAAAATATGTTTTACTTTAAAATTGAAGGAAATCAAATCCATAAATCTAAACAAGTTGTGTTCCAAATTTGAGGTTGATATCACGAAAAAGAAGTCAGATTTTGTTTGGGCACAGTGTCCACTAGATGAAATTCCCTTCCCATTCATTTCTAATGAAGTCATTTTTGATCCCGAACAGTGCGATTATTTGATCCAGGACCATTTAATCTTTTTGAAACATGTCCATTATTTATTTTATTTTATTTTATTGTTTGTTTGTGTGTTCAAGTAGCAAGTGCCAAAACCTTGACCAAGTTTTGTACCATTCCGATGAAGTAAAAAACAACAACAACACCAAAGGGTTAATGATCAAGAGGGGCACAATTAATGACGTTGGTCTTTTGTGGATTCTCACAAGTTGCTGTAATGCAGCGGTCTTCAGTCCCTGAACAGCTGACGGTGTTTGAGCAGTCCTGCCCATCGCAGTAGTAGCATGCTCTTCCATTGGGAGCGTAAGTTCGGGGATCTACAGGAGGAAAAAACAAGCATACAAAATAGGACTGGACAATCATTTAATATCTATGTACATCGTGATATAATTTTTTTTCAATAACGGTGATATGATTTTTAAACATTTATGATATTTCAGTATACATTACAGCATTTGTCACTAGCTGCGTTTCCGTTACCCTTCAAATTGCGCAAACTGAAATCGAGAATTGAAAATAGACCTAATGGAAACACGTCAGTTTCGAAAAAACTAGGGTGACCATATTTTAGTTTTCCAAAAAGAGGACAGTGGGTGCGGGCGGGGCGGGGGCTTGGGGTGTGGTTGGTTGGTGGTTAAAATAGAGCCCAAAGTAGCGCAATGACCATATCCCAAATATCAACACTCAAAATATGTAATTTCCATACCTAAAATACATATTTTACAGTCACTGTTGTGCATATTGATCATAAACACGGACAACCCTGCATCCCACACGAGCTGCAGGAGTCAGATTTGACTGATCACGGGTCGAGAGGAGAGATGATGGCTGACAGATCATGCTGGAGGATTTGCTGCTCAACAGATCCTGAGCTCACTGACAAATATCTGATCTTCCTTTACACAGAGCGCGCGTCATCGAAAAGTGAACAGCGAGCGCACATTCAAGAGAGATTTAAATACTCTGCATATTGATGGCATGCAACATTTCAAACCTTTAACCCACGGGGGGAAATCAAGCCATGACAACAGTTTAAAAGTAGCCCAATTCCATGAAAAAAACATGGACTTGACAACCCTGCATCCAACACGAGCTGCAGGAGGAGTCAGATTTGACTGATCACGGGTCGAGAGGAGAGATGATGGCTGACAGATCATGCTGGAGGATTTGCTGCTCAACAGATCCTGAGCTCACTGACAAATATCTGATCTTCCTTTACACAGAGCACGCGTCATCGAAAAGTGAACAGCGAGCGCACATTCAAGAGAGATTTAAATACTCCGCATATTGATGGCGGCTCCCTGATGCGCGAAAATCATAATATGCAATATTAGATACTATAGATAATATAGATAATACTAGGCGGGACTGGACACAAAAAAATCGCAGGAGCGGAACATACATGTTGCAAGAGCGGGCGATATGACGATACTATATGACACACAGAAGTTAAATGAGTGTTGACTTTAAAGACAGGACAGCACAGTACCTGGAGCATCTCTGTAGTTACAAAGACGAGTGCCGCAGCAGGAAAAAGCAGACTTTAATATGCCCCAGTTCACGGAACTGTCTTGACAGTCTTCAATGCATTCTTTTCGCTTCATTTTTATAAGATTGTTACCTAAAAACATGAATGATACAGGAAAGACGAGTTCAGTTGTGAAGTGTATTTATGAATGCATCACATTAGAAAGAGTAAAAAAAGAGTCTTTTTGATAATGTATCATCTCATAGCTGCAAGGCAAAAAAAGAAAATGTATATATATATTTTTTTTTAATCCATTTTAATACAAATTGTATTGTTACTTTTAACTAATAGCAGAAATCTATATAGAATATTCTGTGATCGGATTTGTTAATTTCCACCAGAAAATTCGACAAGTTACATATTTCTCTATTTCAGCTCAGTAAATAATAGCAGCATCTCTATCAGTCAAATCTAACAGTGCATTTCAATCCATGGTATTGGACTTACCGATCTGTAATACTGTTGTTGTACTCATGCACTTGGAAAATCCCATGGGACAAATCCCTAGTTTCTCCAGACAATAATTCCCCAAGCCACTGCACTCATAACACCAGTGTGAGCCCTGTGCTGATCTGAATCTGTGCTGGGTAGCATTACAAGCCCTGCTGATCTGAGTATCTGCAGCGAACAGACTGAGCAGACTGAACAGAAGCAGAGCTCTGGAGATCTGCGGATCCATCTCTGATCAGCAGGTGAATGAAATAATGGGTCTGATTCAGCACATCTTATATAGCTCCTCAGAAGAGGAGGGTCTTCATGAGAGAAAGAAGTTGAACAGAAATAGATCAACTATCAGCTAGATATGAAACAGGAACTTTTGCAGGGAAGTGCAGAGTTCCTCTGGGGCAGGGGCTCAAATGTAATATAGGGGCAATGTAAAAAAAACAATTATAGGTCAAAAGTTGGGATACATTATTATTTTATATTTTTGCAAGAAGTCACTTATGGTCATCAAGCCTGCATTTATTTGATCCAAATTTTAATATACTTTAAAATGCAATGCAATGCTGATTTATTATCAATGTTGGAAACGTGATACTTTTTTCAGGATATATATATATATAAAATAAACCGTTGAAACAAATGTGTTTCAAAGTTTGCTGCTTCAGTATTTGTAGATTATTTTTCTATAAAATGTTTCTATGGTATACTGAAAAACAATGATAAGCATATCATACGTTTTAAAGGCTTTTATTGGCAAATAAATATAATGAGTCAATATTTACAGTGTTGACCCTTGTTCTTCATAACCTCTGCAGTTCGCTCTGGCATGCTGGATATTAGCTTCTGGGCCAAATCCTGACTGATGGAGATCCATTCTTGCCTTATTAATTCTCGGAGTTGATCACAATTTGTGGGCTTCTGCTTGTCCACTCATCTTGTGAGGACTGACCACAGGTTCTCTATGGGATTGAGATCCGGGGAGTTGCCTGGCCACGAATCCAAAGTTTCAATGTAATGATCTTCGAGCCACTTCTTTATCACTCTTGCTTTGTGACATGCTGCTCCATCATGCTGGAAGATGCACGGATCATCACCAAATTGCTCATGGATCGCTGGAAGAAGTCGCTCTTGCAGGACGTTTTGATATCATTCTTTATTCCTGGCAGTGTTTTTAGGGCAGAATTATGAGAGAGCCCTTGGTTGAAAAGCAACCCCCCACATGGATGGTCTCAGGATGCTTCACTGTTGGCACAACACAGGACTCAAGGTAGCGTTCACCTTTTCTTCTCCGAACCATCGATTTTCCAGATATCCCAAACAGTCGGAAGCGAGCTTCATCAGAGAAAATAACTTTGCAGCAGTCTTCTGTCCAATCCTTGTACTTCCGATTCTGTAGCTGAGTCCTCAGGAGACGGTGCTGGCGCTTGCTGGATCCTGACAGAGCTTGAGAGGTGAAGAGGTGAGGAGAAGAATGGCAGATGATGGCCTATTGCTGATGTGCAAAGCTTGTCGCATCAAACAAAAAAAGAGCTTTACAGAGGCTGTTAAGGTGCTTCAGCTGAGTTATGACTTATGCAATGTACTTATTTCAGTTTTTTCTTTTTTATAAATTTACTACGTTGTGACAATTCTGTTTTTGCATTGTCATTATGGTGTATGGAGTGTAGGTTGATGTGGAAAAAAAGTAATTTAAAGCAGTTTAACGTAAGGCAGCAACATAAAGCGTGAAAAAATGAATTTGCAAGGCGCTGTATAGTTGTTTTTTTCACATTGCATCAAACGTAAGTGGAGAACACAGTAAAGTGAAGAACCGTTGTACAGCCTTTTGAAAATTATTTTCTTTTTAATACTGTTATTAATATAAACTTTTATGGATTATTAGTGATTAATCAATGAATATAACAGGTGTTATGATTGGTTAAACTGAAGGGTCCCTAAGATCATAATTTCAGGCCATTTGAAGTCATTTCATTTCACACACATGTAATTTCTCACGACACATATTTCCACGACATCCATCAGGTTATGTGTGGTTTAGATTGTGAGATGTGTGTGTGTGTGTGTGTGTGAGATGTGTGTGTGTGTGTGTGTGAAATGAGAAAAGGTCAGTGTGATGCGGTCTGATGCTGAATGCACCTGCAGCAGCCAATTCATTTCATGTTTATTTGCCATTTTATAACCTCCACTAATTTATATGATCTCCTTTATTTTGCTTTAGCATTCACACACACACACTCACAATTTAGTGTATATTTATATAAAATGAGCTGTAACTGATGAAAATAACCCTAATGTCCAGTCAAATATAGCGTTGCAAACATCAAGACCAGCTTTACTTTGTCAATGTTGGCAAGTGACCGTTATATAAGCCGGATAATCCACGGCTAGCTGTGCATTACACGATTTAATGTGCGTCCGGAGTGGATTATCCCTACTACTAAACTACTAAAACACAATCCTGATGTGTCTTGATGTTTGTGTGTCCATTTGAATCTCAGACATGATTCTGTTAGTGATTCTCTGATATTCGTGAACTAACAGCTCAATGATCTCACTGGCAGAGACTGAACACCAGGTTTGTAAGTGAGGAGCGCTCATACAGTAAAGCAGCTCACTGTGGTGTTTTTAGCAGGACAAAAGCTCCTCACATCTGCACACTTCAGTCGTGTTTATTCTGAACAGTATTTAAATACATTAAAAACCTGCTCACATGTATGAAAAAGCTTGTGCTGTAAGAACATTCGTAGAAATGGGCGTGTCACAGTCAGGTCAGCCAATCACAGATCAGCTGGGCGGAGTCAGAGCAGGCACTCGGGCGCTTGTCAGTTGCTCTGTTTGATGTGAATGAAGCAGAGGCCGGGATGATCGACGCCGTCGCTGTAAACACACACACAGAATGTCAGTCACACTGATACACAAACTGTGTGTGAGAGAGTGTGAGGTACCTTCTGTGTCCGGGCAGGATCACGACGCTCAGGCAGTTCTCCTCCAGCGCTCTGAACACTTTTCCCACTCTTGCATCCAGTTTCTTCATCTGCCGCTCCAGCAGTCGCTCCTGAGGGTCACATGACACAAAAAAAATCAGAGACGCAGAGACATTAAAGATGGTTTCTGTTTGACTGACAGCTGTCACTCACGTCGCACTCCTCCCCCTGCTCTGGCGTGTCTGGGCTGGTTTCCGTGGTAACGGGGCGTGTCCATGAGGTCATGTGGGGCGGAGTCAGAGCGTGACACACTGACAGCTTCCTGTTTCCGATCTGGGGGGCGACGCCCACCGCGGCCTGAGTGCTGTCAGCGCACTCGAACCCTACGAATCACAAAACACTCGCATCATCACGTCATTTACATATTACCGAGGTGAATTAACAGTGCTCTGGTGGACTCATACGCACTGATGAAGGCGTGTCTGCTGTGTTTCCCAGCATGCTCTGCGGCACTCGTGACGCGCTGAATAGGGCCGAACTGTCTGAAGCTCTGGAGCTGGTCTTCATGGCGATGCGGTTTGGAGGACAGATTACTCACGTAGATGACGTGAGCGTTGAGAGGATCGTTCTGACGCTCAGAGAGACGCTCGTTCAGATCCAGACACAACTCGTGTACGGGACGCCGCGCCTGCGCTCACATAACGACCATTAAAACCTCATCAGCTCACAGACACAATGCCTCCTAACACCAACAGCTGGAACTATCACGATAACTGTAACAATACTATCAGAATAACTAACGATACTATCAGAATAACTATAACAATAACAATACCTGCAACAATAACTACAATAAATAATGAGAACAATAACGATAACAATAACAATACTATAACAACAGCGAAAAAATTACCTGAAAAAAACTCGCTCTTGCTTTCAAAGTGATTTTAACGATATAGTTTCTCTGTGTGGTTATTGTTATAACTGTGGTGTGAACTCACTATTATTGAGCAGTTATTAAAGGGGTCATATGATGTGATTTCAATTGTTCCTTTCTCTTTGGAGTGTTACAAGCTCTTGGTGCATAAAGAAGATCTGTAAAGTTGCAAAGACTAAAGTCTCAAATCCAAAGAGATATTCTTTATAAAAGTTAAGAGTCAACCACGCCTACCTAAAACGGCTCGTTCTAACACGCCCCCACATGTCTACGTCACTATGTGGGAAGATTTGCATAACGCCGCCCAAATGTTCACGCAAAGAAAGAAGGCGTAACTTTTATTCTCTGTAGTTTTGTTGTTTCCGCTGCCATGTCGTGTACTACGTCACTATGTGGGAAGATTTGCATAACGCCGCCCAAATGTTCACGCAAAGAAAGAAGGCGTAACTTTTATTCTCACTGTAGTATTGTTGTTTCCGCTGCCATGTCGTGTAAAAATACACAAAATACTGTTCTTTTCAGCAGCATCATATGACCCCTTTAAAACTCTGATAGTTGCTGATAGTTGATATAGCTGATGCTGATAGTTATCATTGCTGCTGTAAACAGACATTTAGTCTGGAGTCACTATACTGAACTAATGTAAACATAATGACGTGCGTGTGTGTGTGTGTGAGAGAGTGTGTGTGTGCGTGTGTGTGTGAGTGTGAGAGTGTGCGTGTGAGTGTGAGAGTGTGCGTGTGAGAG